GATAATATCAAATGTTGATGAAGATGTAAGGTTTTTTTTTACAATTTATGTAAAATTCTCATAAGAATGTGTATTATTCCAGTAGTACAGAAATCAGTACAGTAGTTCCTCAAAACACTAAAAAAATTAGACCTATAAAGTATTTCAGCTGTATGACATCTTGGTGTATACCCAAAAGAATCAAAGTCAATCTAACATGTCACACAAATGTTTATTATAGCACTGTTTATAATATTTAAGTTAAGGGGTTAGTTTTGCTACCCATAAATAGATGAATGGAGAAATAAAATGTAGTAGAGGGCTGGAGAGATGACTCAGCAGTAAAGAGCACTTCACAATCTTTTAGAGGACTGGAAGTCTGGCCTTATCATCCATATTAGCTAGCTATAACCCCGTCTCTGGGAAATCCAATTTCCTCTCCTGGCTTCTGGAGGAACCTGCATTCATGTACACACACACACACACACACACACACACACACACACACACACGCCATTAGTAATGAAATATATCCTTGAAAATATAAGATGTAGTATATATTTACAATAGAGTTCTGTTCAGCCATAAAAAGGAATGAAATGTTGTTGTTTGCAGGAAATTCAATAGAAATTACATCCTGTATGGTGAAATAAGCAAGATTTGGGATGACAAGAGTATTAGACATTTGTCCTGTTGATAAAAGACCTGAAAAAGGCAACTTAAGAGAGAAAGCATTTGTTTGGGCTCATAGTTCTCAGTGTTTACCTCACGGTCATTTATGGTCACAGTGAAAAGAGCATGAGGCAGCTGCTTATATTGTATCTGTACTCAAGAAGCAGAGAAAAATAGGTATGTAGGTTTATCTTACCTTTACCTTCTTATTCAGTCCAGGACTGTTGTCCATGGAATCGTGCCACTCACATTCTAGGTGTGTCTAAACAGTGCCTTGTATTCCTACCCAGGGATTTGTGTTCTTGGTGGGGCTAGATCCCATTCCATTGAAAATCCATATTAACCATCACAAGAAGCCTTATATATTTTCTCTCTTGTGTGTAATTTAAGGAATAAAAAAATGATAGTAAAGTTGTGGAGTGGAAACTGTTAGGGATGTAGAAGGATATAAAAAGGAGGGAGAGGTATGAATATCCATGTGAAAACACCACAATGAAACTCATTCATTTGTTAAATTAGCATACTCTAATTTAAAAGTAAAACTTTAAGTGGCTGGAGAAATGGTCCAGTGATTAAGAGCACTTACTGCTCTTCCAGAGGACCTGGGTTTGATTCCCGGGACTCACATGGTGGTTTACAATCTGTAACTCCAGTTCCAGATTAGAGTATGTTAATTTAACAATTAACATAGAAGTGGAAGCAAGCATCAATGGGGTTAGGTGATTTAATGGGATAAAAACATTCTCATTCTGTACCCTGTAGTTTTGTCTTATTGACCGTGTCCTTTGCTCTACAAAAGCTTCTCAGTTTCAGGTGGTCCCATTTATTAATTGTGGATCCGTCCCTGGTGCATGGGCTGGCTTCTGGTAATCCAGTGCCTGTTGTGTGACACCTTGCCCAGTCTTGGTGCAATGGGATGGAGCTTGGACCTGCCTAGGCTCAGTGAGCTGGGCTCTGCTGACTCCCCATGGGAGACCTCGATTTGGGGGATGTGGGGATGCGGGGTGGCTTGGGAGAGAGGGCTGGGGGGTGGGAGGAGGGAGGAGGTGGGATCTATGGGTGGTATGTAGGGTGAGTAGAAACTTCCTTAACAAAGAAAAATGAAGAAAAAAAAATTCTCAAGCAACTAAAAGAAATGGAAGATGTTGGCTTGACTTTATCTCTGCACCAAGCTGCATTTACTTACTGACAAGTACACAAATTGCAAAATTATCTCAGATAAACCCAGATAAACCGGTACCCCTAAATGCACAATGTATGATTAAAAGAAATCCATAAAAGAGAAAAAGACATACTTAATGTTGTGTTGTCACCAGAGAATTTATCTTGAGGTATCATGAAAATGCCTGAAATCATATGGTGTAGGCAGCATTACTTTTTTTTATGTTTTCTCTTCTAAAAAGAAAAATATTTGCACGTATGAAAGCAGAATTCGCTTTGATTTTGCTTCAAAACTTTTAAATTAAGATGAATGTATAAGACTAGGTGCCAGGTGTACTCCTGTGTTCCACAACAAAACAAAACAAAAACCAAAAAACCCAAAAACAACAGCAACAAAAAACACCAAAAACAAAACAAAAAAATGCTTTGACTTCTCTCTTTTGTTGGGCCAGGGCTGTGCCTTAGAGAGATGTTCAGGTTGTGGTGAAGTGGAAGATAAACACAGACATTTTGCCTGTATTTGAACCTGAATTCTGGGGAAAAGTGGTTTGGAAAACCGCGTGCCATCTTAGAGCATTCAGAACTGGCACTCCGTGGGCAGCAAAAGAAGCCACAGAGCCCTCAGCCTCTCTTTCCTCCCCCCTGCGCGCCCCTTCTCTGAACCAATAGTCTGAAGCGCCACCCACTCTGTCCTTCCCTGTGAAATCCTATAAATCCCTTACCAGGAGAGCTTTGATCTGTGGGAAGAGCCTGACAGCTCGGGAGCTGACGCTCTCTTGCCTGAGCCCTGGATTGGCTGGTCTGAGCTAACTCTCCGTGAGCCACACGTGCAGCTGCTGCATTTCTTAGATGGAAGATTTCGCAAGAATACCAAGTAGTGCAGAAAACACAGCTTGAGAAGCGATCTGAAGATCCAACTCAAATTCTGGACTTTTAATGGGAGGGAGAGCTGTGTCTTCATTGTATCAAAGCCTGGCAGGGTAAAGAAGATTTCTGCAAGGTTGGTGATGGTACTGCCTGCCTACCTAGGAGAGGGACAAGGACCAGGAAGGGAAGAGACACAGCTAAGCTAGATGGAGTTGTATGGTCTACAGCCAGCAGGAGAATGAGTGAAAGCAGTTACTTCAAGGCCACTGTAGGGTGAAAGGAAGCTAGATTTTCTTATCAAAATGTCTGCCTTCTAGGTCTGGAATTCAGTGTTTGTCCTCAGACTCCTAAGAAGTAATAATTTTGGTTGTGCTCTTTTGTGGATAACACATTGTTGATCGAGGGGCTTTTGGAGTGTGAAAGCACTGTAGGCCTGTAGGGGTTTGATCTGTGGCTGTCAGGGGTAGACTGAGAATGTAATATTGAAATTTAGCAAAATGGAGCCATAGTTGGTAAGGTTTCTAGAGTACTTGGCCTCTCTTCCTGTGTGGAACAAGCCTCTTTTCCATTGTGACCCTTTTAAAGAGAAAATGCTGAGTCAGGTGAAGATATTGGCTTCTTTATGGTCAAAGGATCTTTGGCAAAGGTGTGGGAAAATAAGGGATCCTTCAATATTGCTTAGGAGTAAAACGTAGATGTAGGAGAGATTCAAGAATATACTTTGGCTATTTTGATACATTTGGTGTCCAGGAAAGATTGAGTTGATCATGTGTAGCAGACAGTAAGTGTTGCTAGACTGATCACAAAAGGAACCCTTGGGTGCTGTGATGATGAGCTTGTTTCTACCCTGTTTTGGGTAAACACAAATTTTCTGTGTTTTTCTGAAAATATTCATATCCAATGGAGATGTTTTTAATATCTCTCAGTAAAAGTTGGGGTGAGGTGAGGGAAAATTATGAGGTGTTCCCATTCTGAAAATTTTCATTTTTTTGAAAGCCAGAGGTAACTGGTGGGGGAGGTCTGTCACACAAGCTCATGGAAAGATGGGAAATGTGAAGTCTCCTGCAGTCTCCAAAGGAAATCCAGGGTGTGTGGAAAAGATTTAAGAAAATCTTTGTCTCTGGGAGAAGGTATTTGGTTAATTTGACTGCACTGTTTGGTGGGAAATACACTGTAAAAGGGGGAAAATGGGATTATTGCACTACCTGAAAGAAAGATTGAGCTTTACAGAAACCTAGAGAGGCTTCATATTATTGAGTGAAAATCAGATGTGCAAAGATTAAGCACATCTCTGTTCTACCCTGGGAGACTCGGTGAGTCACTGCACATAAGAGCTCTGATTGTTTACATATTCCTTCGAGAAAATTCGGGAGAGAGATCATGGAGGAAGTGAGGAATCCAGTCTGTGAATTAAAAATACAGTCCGAGGCTATTTTATCTAGCTGAATATACACAAAAGGGCAGAAAAGAATTTTCTAGAAATAAAATAGCCAAACCTCAAGTGATTCAAATAACTTTTTATGGTACCTGGAAATTTTATGCCAGGAACCTCCTGCTTCTCTCTTCTCCTTTTCCTTGTGTTTTCCCCTCTGCTTTCCTTTTTCAAAGAAAAAAAAATGGAACCCTGGAAAATATTCACCACGCTGGTTTTGCAAAAGCTCATGCATAGTTCTTATATCACAAATGTTGTTTGGCACCACTGTAAGTAACACTCAAAGGCAGCTCTTTAAAGATGGACTTTCCCTAATTATTTTTTCCCTTTCGCCTGCCACCTTCCATGTCCAGATTCAAAGATTCTGCGGTTCTGAAGGCTCCATAGTGTTTGCTTGGTTATGGCTTCACGCAGGTCAAAAAAAAAAAAAAAATCTGCAGACCGAGTTACCTTGGGGAGGTGGGAAGCAGGAGATTAGGTATGAAAGACCTTGAGTAGAGATGTGTATGTTAATTACATTCTGGTTGTTGAATTGAAATGGGCATATTTAAATTAGTGAGGAGTTTTGTTTTGTTTTGTTTTTGTGTTTTAAAAGAGGAATTTACCCCATGGGCAGCAACCACCCCGTCTGTTCTAGTGCCCAGAGTGCTTGTGTCTTGGTAGGGAAGACTAGAGCTGCAGTTACACAGAGGGAATGTGGAAAAATTAACTAGCTCTGATATAGCAGCAGAGGCCACCTGTGCCCCCCCCACATCCCCCTCCATGTGCCCCCCCTTTGTCCCCCTCCCTGTGTGTTGCGGACCCAGACAGCATCTCGTGGTAGAGGCAAAGTCTCGCGCAAAGCTCTGCCAGCCCTCGCGGGGCCCCGCCCCCTATTGCTGAGGGTCACTACCCAGTCCCCACTGACGCGGGGGAGTGCTCACGACTCCTTGCCTGCAGCAGTAGGCTTGCGTGCGCAGAGCCAGAGGCACCTCGGGCTCTGAAGTGCGCTGGGACCTGGACGGGCTGGCGGCTAGTCCCGCTAGTCAGTCTTCATCTCTCCTCTGCCTGACTAGCACACTGAGGCTGGTAGGCTCCCAGCTTTCCAGTCCTTCTCCGGATAAAACGTTCTAAGGTAAGTCTCAACATTTACAGGAAAGACTGGAGATATCTGGGGGTGAGTTGCTGTCACTGCGTCTGACACCAGGTAAACAGGGAAATGGGCAGACTGCCCATGTAATAGAAGGGTTTGGGTACATAGCATCCCCAAGTCCAAGCGCCCAGAGCTCCGGGAGTCCTCAACCTGTTTTTTTTTCAGGATGCATTTCTTCCACAGGTTATCCTCAAGCGCGAAATACTGAATACTTAAGTGCTCTGGGTGAATTCCTAGAATTTCCCTCCTGTTTTTGTCTGTTCCTATCAGCAGGGATCCTGGCACTCCTGAAAAGTGAGGATATCTGCTCCAAACCCCCCTGGAAAGCCCTCCTTCCTATTTACTAAATCCCACCCAATTCTCAGGTTTCTGGGTGTTTTAGCCCCCCAAACTGTTATGCTTCCACAATGAGATGTTGTTGTTGTTGTGGTGGTGGTAGTGGTGGTGGTGTTTTCTTGCGCGTCAAAGTACATGCAAACTGTAAGCTTGATCTCGCGACGGCCAGTTTCAGAGACGCAGGGTCCTTATTTCATCCCCAGCCCCCTAATCCTCCTCCCCACCTCGCTCTCCAGGGAGAAGGTGGGCTGGAAAAGACTGTGGTCAGAGACTATTTCTCCTGCCATAGAAACCCTTCCCCCACTGGAATCATGTGCTGCATAACTGGGGAGGGGGTCCCAGCATAGGGTAGAGATGAATCAGTGTTCATCATCCTTTCTATTCGCAAGAAAGAAAAGAGCAAATCTCTGTAATTAGAACTATAGAATCTCAGTCTCCAGGGTGTTGCTGGAGGTTGAGGGGTGGTCACCAATAGCAACCACCCTCAGGAGGCTAAGAGGTCTGTGATGACGCAGTTCCTTAAAGCCCCGCCCTCCTGAAATTTGAGGAAGGGGCTGTGGAATGAAATTATATATTCCTCTTCACTGCCCCCTTCTGACTATTTGGCTATAGAGAAGTCTTTCTGGGGAGAAGTAGTTCTTCACAAAATAAATAATCTATGTTTTTAATCCCTTCCCCACTTGATGGTCTAGAAAATGCCAGAAACTGCTTGGAGCTCCCTCCTCCTCCCTCATACTCCCTGAAACGAAGGGAGGGGCAGGGATTCAAACCTTCAAGGCCCAAAGCCTGGCTCATTTAGATGCTATGTTAGAGTAGCCCTTGCTTAGAGGAGCCACCCACCATAGCCTGACTGCCCCTAGTCAGAAGGGAAATTTAGGGAATATATGTGGTTAAAATGGATCCCTAACCTTAGCATAAGGATTCTTCTTCTTTGCCCCATATTACATTTTTTTTGAGACAGGCTCCCACTATGCAGCTCTGTCTGGACCTGGTTATTATAGGCCAGGCTGTCCTCAAACTTGTGGTCTTTCTGCTTTAACCTCACCTGTACTGGAGTAACAAGTGGGGAACATTCTGTCTGGTAATATAGTATTTGTGATTTAATTGTGGAGTGTTGAGTATGGAATCCAGTTTTTCAGGCATGCTACGTGTCACTCAGCTACATCCCCAATTTTCCATAGTCAGTTTTGTGGGGTAGAGAAAGAGACAGAAAGGGGGGGGGAATCTGTGGCTTCCCCCCTCCCAGTATAACCAATATCACAGACAGCAATGCATTATTTGTTCTACATAAACATGTACCAGACACCTTCAACAAAACATACCATACAAGTGCATGTACAGCAGAGAAACTCATCATATAAACACACAGAATGCAAACATACCACAAAAACACACACAGGTGTTGTTTAGAAAATGCACACCATACAAGTCTGCATTGTGAAAACATAACCATGATACATGTGAGTTCATGTAAGAAACAGAACAGAACATTCTAAAACAAATCAGTCAAAACATACACACAAATGTCCAAGCACAACCTCCATGGACTTGAACTAATAACAAAACACTTCACACACACTCACACACACACACACACACACACACACTCACACTGCACACACTGCACACACAACACACACACACATACATACCACATACTGCACACAAACACACACACACACACCGCACACTGCATACACACACACACACACACACACACACACACACACACACACACACACTATAACATTTTCTCCCTTTTGGCCAGAACTTATTTGCTTTACAACAACAACAACAACAAAATGTAGGTTTCTAGTATAAGGAAACCCAGAGATTTTTTCCATCAAGAAGGTGTTTGAATAGTATACATTTTCTTTCATGCATGCTAATTAAATCTTTTCTACCAGTTTATGAAGTGTATATAATTGCCATTGGATAGGTGGAGAAACCAAGGCAAAAAAAATCCTTTTAAGTATGTAGTTTTCTTTGTGGTTGACACAATGATTATGTATATTTATTTATATAACTACATTTTGACAAATGTACACAATGCAAAATTATTGGACTGTGGTAATTGGCATCATTTTATCTCATGAATTTACCATTTCTTTATGTTGAAAATATTCGGGGGTCTTTCTAAAATTTAGAAATATGTAACTAATTTTTGTTAATCATAGTTATTTGCAAATTAGTCACAGGAGTGGGTAGTACAGAAATATAAACAAATCTTGCCTTTAAGTTTACAGTCTCTGATATCCTACCCTTTCTTGTGTATGTAAACATACACATTATTACATAGGTGTCAGCTCCTGCAGTTGGAGACTAGTCACCTATTTAGAAGCCCATTTCTTCTGGCTTGATCTTTTTATTTATGTAAAATTCTCAATACAAGTCAGAGCAGTCAAAGACCTATCATTGCTTTCACAAGGCAAGGTAGAAAGGTCAGACTCCCATAACTATACAACTCGATGGCAATAATCTAGAGTTACCTATTCTGCTAGACCTCAATAACACAACTCTAATTAAGCATTAATTACAAAGCAATTAATTAATTGAATGTGTATTAGAAGCCAGTGACTGTTTTAGGTAATATTTATACATTATCATGGTAAGAAAACAGGCTGGTATATCTGTCATTCTAAATGGGTGATCTAATTGGTTTCACAGGATTACATCATCTTAGTCAAAATGGGCTCACAAGCCTGCTGGCTTATCTTCTCTTATAAAAAGGTTAAGACCTTAGATCCTGGCTTCTTTGGACTCACTATGCTATAAAATACTAAAGTCTTTCATCCTTTCCATTTTAGGTGGAACCAGCTTCTGTTTGCAAGGATTTGGAAAAGGACTTCATTATCTATATCCTTTCTGGTCTCTCGGGACCTGTTTAGTCCTTCTCCCTAAACAAAAATGAACACCTCTGTCCTGTTACAAATGGAAAGTACCATTGATTGGCTCCAACAAAATGTCAGTTGGGCTCCATTCCTTGAGGATGACAGTTGCAATTACACCAGTCTGAATGGAACCAATGTCTCAAGTGCAGAGTGGGGAGGGGCAGCAGGAAGAGTCAGGAAGTGGATAGGGGGCAATCCCCACATCATGGCAAAGATTGTGCTGACATTCGCATATGCTGTCATCATAATGATATCCCTCTTTGGCAACTCTCTGGTATGCCAAGTTTTTGTCAAGCACAAAGAAATCAAGAAATCAACAGGCCTTCTCATCTTCAATCTGGCGATATCTGACATTTTGATAATCCTGCTCAACAGTCCATTTGCTCTGGTGAGTGATTTATATAGAGTTGGTTTCAGTACATAAAAAAGAGGCTGCTCCATTTTAGGGGTGGATGATGGGACTAAGGAAACAAAAGGGAATATGCAAGCATGAGGCCTCCATTCTATACTCTAGCTTCTCTGCAGTGCTAAAGGACAATATTTTAATAAATGACCTATGATTTTTTCTTTTTTCTTCTTGCTTTCATCCCTTAGGCTCGTTTCCTGACTGGACAGTGGGTATTTGGTAGGATTATGTGTCATATCAGTCGTTTTGCTCAGTACTGCTCCCTCCACGTTTCCACTCTTACACTGATGGCAGTTGCCATGGACCGGCACCGGGTAAGACTACTTGAAGACAGTTTTGAATAAAAGCAGGGAATGGGAAATAGCTGGGAAGATAAGACATCTTGCAGAAATCTACAGGAAGGAGCCATGTTTGAGAACAGAATATGTTTGTGGACTGGCTCAGATACTTCTCTCCACTATCATACATACTCCCACAGCTGGATGCCATTTTGAATTTCAGAGTTTCAGCACCATTTGTGTATTTTAAGCATTCGCTCTTCTCCCTCTAACCTATCTTCAATCCATCTGTGTTCATATTGGAATAAGATCAATTAAATTAATAGTCCAATTAAATTCTTTAATCCAAGCAGAAACTCATCAACCTTTGTCTGATTATGCAAACCACACTGACCTGGGCTGATTTAGGAAGTGTTGCTTGTCTTTTGTAGGTAATTCTGCACCCAATGAAACCAAGGCTAACACACCACCAGAGCTTAACGGTTGTTGGTGTGATCTGGAGTATTGCAGTGTTCCTTGCTCTTCCGCATGCAATTTACCAAAATGTGACCACTTACATCGGCATGTAAGTCAAACATAATGGATAATTTCACCTTTTTCTTTATAGAGACTCCCAAAAAATTGACATTTGTAATGTTCTTAACTTCATTTTCATCCATTCCCCATTTTCCTTAATAGAATATATGGTGTCATTTTCTAATTCTAATGTGTTAGTGGAATCAAGAGGATGGGCCACCAAGTTAAGATCACTGGCAATGAAGAATCTGGCTGTCTTCAGATTGATATATACCTAGACTAGGTCCATAAGAGATAACATTTTATTTCATTCCCTTAATTTTAAAATTGAAGAAATTGAGACTTAAAGTTTCAAGGGACTGGGATTTTTTTATGGACATACTGTGCAAAGTAGCTACTAGAAGCTTTCTGGGTTCCTTTGAGTTAGTTGTCATAACTTTTATTCTGCTTTCCACCAGGGATGGCACCACCAGGAGCTACTGCCTCCCTGCCTTTCCTGGACCGAGTCAGGAGGTTTCGAAGTATGTGGACCTCGGGACATTTGTCTTGCTGTACATCCTGCCACTTCTGGTGATTGTTGTAACCTATTCTCACCTAGGAAAGAGGTTGTGGCTACAAAATGCCATCGGTGATGCATCTGCTCGTCAACTTATGGCACACTACCAGAAGCGGAAGAAGAGCATCAGGATGCTGATACTTATTGTGTTGGTCTTTGCAGTTTGTTGGTTTCCACTTAATTTCTATGTGGTTCTTATTTCCAATGCAGGTGTAGAAAATGATAGTGTGGTCTTCTATGGCTTTCACTGGTTTGCAATGAGCAGCACTTGCTACAATCCTTTCATCTACTGCTGGCTCAATAGGAGCTTCCGTGCCAAACTAAGATCTATATCATCTTTCAGGATGCAGTCACTGTTTTTATGTAGCAGGTCCCAGGTTCAGCAAATCAAGCCAAAGGAGAGTCATGAGCTGCGAGAACTCCGGACATCTTCGCTGCTGCGAGTTCCCCTGGCTGTTCCAGAGCCCCAGGTATTTGAGGATCCCAGTATGGCTACAGGGGATAATTCCCAAGTTTCTGTTCAAGGGGATTGGGAAGATCCAGATCCCTCCATAGATGAAGAGGCGGCAGCAGTAGCAGGGCCCTCAACCCAGGATCCTTACTTTTGCATTCACATGAAGACCACCAGACACTAAGCTGGGCACCCATCTGATCCAATGCAATCTTGCTTAATAAGTACCTTCTCCCAGACAATTCAGTCAGAGATGGGGTAACCTTTAACTTAGATATTGAGTCCAACGCTTTAGTATCGTGTGCACCCTCACAGATCCGTCTCTCTGGATCTTTTTATGGTTTTGAGTCTTAGTTCTGGCATCAGAATTCTACTTAAGTCCACTGTACCATAATGTGGACAACTGACTGTGCCAGACCCTGAAGGAATTTGTTGACTTACTTAGCTTCCTTGCTTTGCAGATAAATGTATGAGAACAACATTTCCTGAATAAGATTCTTTCTTTGCCTCCAGCTTTTACCTGTGATTATTGCTAGTAGTGATAGTGAGATGGAGGAACTGTGAGTGAAAGAGGTCTGTGTACAGAATTATTAAGAAGACTACTTGGTAGCCCCTCTCTGCCAATAGGAACACCCTTTTCTTCACTGCCCTTGTGCACCGACTTGGCGCTCTCATGTAAATTACTTTGTGCATCAACTTAGTCTGAGGCAAATACTCATAATAAGGAACAAGAGATACTGATGAATGACTGGACTTCTATTACCCCATCTTTGTAAATGTGACGCTGTAAGCTCAGTCTAAAGATCTTTGATTTTAGACTAATTTCCCACGCTTCAGATATCTCATCTTGTCTACAACTGTGGACTTTATCTGGAGGAACTACTTGGAATTTGTACTAGCTAATTTAACTAATGTATACTGGCATATGTGGTCTCTGATGAATTTATGGACCTTTCCTATCAGAACTGGCCATCTGAGTTGATTATTCACTGACTTTCGGTCATACCTTTATCCTAATACTTTCACAACAAGCAGAGCAGCATCTCCAACCCCCCCCCCAACTATTCCCTATCAACTATAATTTGTTGCATCTTAACATGACATAATCAAGTGCATACATGCACACACATGCATACATTTTTATGTTAACACAGGTATAAGCTTGTAAATATTGCTCCTTGTTACCTCTCATGATATCCACCTGCCTGGTGCTCTCACTTATTTCTACCTGTAATTTTCATGCTAACTGAGCCTAGACAAGATTTCATGCCTTAAAGTGAAGTCTTGAAGGCTCTGAGAGTGTGGCAACTTTTTGCCTCTGGAATCAGCATTTCGTTATAGTTGGTGCTTCATGTGTTTGTTTGATTTGGTTTGATTTTTTGGTGTTGTATATCTCCCTGTGAAAATTGTACAGATTCATATCCTAATTTGTGCTCTTATGTGCTAATTCCATTTCTTCGCTATTTCTATGCTTTTCTCTAACCATATCAAGTTATCGCTTATGAGTGGCTTTCATTTTATTTCGCTTTCTCATATACTCATTTCAACTCAATTCATTTTAATTAATAATCTATATTCTTTTTTGTTAATTATGTCAGTCTCACACATGGGGTGTGTTATACACTCCTGTTCAGAAGTACACTCATAGAATATAACACTGCTTCTCTCTCCTTCCAACATTTCATCCGGGTGCTCACTTTTCCATATTTGTTTGTTCTGGTGTCTCTAATATTGGATTTTGGTTGCTGCCTTAACCAGAGGTTCACAACTTCTTGTGCTGAGGCTCATCATCTCTTCACTAGTTGAAGCCTCCTCATTTCCGGTGCTTTGTTCCATTGTAGACTTTCTGTTTGCTTCCCCTGCTTTGCTTTCTCTCTCTCCCCCTCCCCCTCACACCCACCTCTCCCTCCTCTGCTTCCCTCCCTCCCTCCCTCCCTCCCTCCCCCCCTCCTCTCCTTGGTGTTGATCTAAGTCTAATACTAATTCATTATTCCTTTTCTGCTTTTCCCTGTACACAGATATCCCTCTTTCAGTCTTCACTTTTTTGTCACAGAGATTCCCTTCCTACCCCAGACAAGAGTGAACACGAGTGAACATTCTTGTTCTTGTGTATTATGCTGGCTTAGAAAATCCATCAGAGGGCACCATGCACGAGAATATTGAGAAGAGTCTAACAGTTTCCTTGAGATCTCAGCATTCCTTAATGAGATTGTTCTTTCTAGCTGAATTGTTTGCTTATACTTTCATTGTGAATAGTTATAATTTAATATCTGATTATAAATGTAGGCATTAGTATCTGCTTATAAATTTAAGAGCTATATCATTGTGAACTGATTTCAGCTAACTTTATGTAGAATACAAATTTATTCATGGCCACAAACTTTACCTTAGGTATGGGACCTTTGGTGATCTAATTGATTTACTTTAGCAGACAGTGAATGGCTCCAAGAAACGTGTTACTGAAAGAAATTTCACACATCATCTGTACAAGTAAAAGCACCTTGTGCTTTGATTTTGATGTAAGGCAAGAAGTCTCTAGTGGATACAAGCCCAAGACTCAGAATACTGGGACAAGGATTTTATTTGCTCTGATTCAACTATTTGTGTGACCTTAGGCAAGTCATGTGGCCTTAGTGTGCCCCAGTTTCCTCATCTATAAACGGTGGTTAATAATACCTTATAGGGCTATTGTAAGAGTTATCTGTGATAACAGGTATTATTGTTGTTAATAGGCTTATTTTCCTGTTACCCACCTTGTGATTATTGCTGTTATTATTACTCTAATTGTAAATGTTACTATTGTTATTGTTAAATATTGTTAAATTGATATTGCTGTGCTCCCCTTGAAGTGCTGACCTGTATACAACTAAGAAGGCTATGCAGGTAATTAAGAAAATACTACTTGATATATCTCATTGGGGAAAAAGAAAAGCTTCTACTGCCTGTTTAGATTACTTGAAACTAGGTTGGACAGAATACTGCTGAGAGGAAAAAGATTTCCAGAGCAGAGACAGAGACACTAGCTGAATTCTAGACAACTGAACAAAAGAAGTACATGCCAAGTAATAAGCAGATGGATAATTTTGAGTTAGTCTCTCAAGTAGGTTTTTCAGAATTTTAGCATTTCTGCTCTGAGAAGAGCGGCAGATAAGGAATCAAAGGACAAAACTTGAAAGAGGTGAAGTGTTTACAAAGTATAGAAATGACACAGGGTTTCTATTCTGAATTGTCATCTCTTTTCTAAGAACTCCCTTTATTTATGATTCAATGTAATTCTCAATAATTGTATTACATATTTATATTTGTTAATGTTTTAGATATCATAGTAATATATTAAGTGTAATAGTACTCATTACGGTGCTCTTCTGAAGTGTGCTTAATGTGTTTTATGGTGTTATATTTAATCATTTTCCTGCCAAAATAGTTCGCAAACAAACAAACTGCAAAAAAGTAGAAAAAAATCCCTAAGTTTTATTTATGTGTGTTTGTTTATATGGAACACTGAAATTCCCAAAAGAATGAATATTGATATTGGACTTTGGAACAGTGTATTGCCCGTGTATGTCTCCACAACAGGTTACAGTTGAGGGAATCCCCTCACCTAGACAGAGTAACTGCTTCAGAAATTGTTCTACTTGACAAACAGGAAGAGTGAATTATGAAGTTTGGGAGCTCCAAGCTGTACACTGCAGCTCTACTCAGATGAACTGTTCAAAGGGGGAGAGGGTCAGATTAAGGGTTTAGAGTTGGCTGACTGTAATTATCGTGTGTCAGCTGGTTTTTGTACTTAAGTATATTTTGACTGGAATAATTTTTCAAGTGTTTGAAACTACAAACCTTTGTGAATCCTTTGTGACTATGTATATGCTTAATTAAAAATAAATAAAGCTGAAGATAATGAAAGCTGTTTCTTCCTTAATGCAGACCCCTTGTACTATTTTAAGCTCCAAAAGAGTAACTCAGTAACCAGTAGCCTAAAAAGGACATATTGACTTTAGAAGTAACAGCCTGTGAATTAAACTTGATTAAACAGAACCTCTTCCTGGCATGGCCCTATCGTTGCAGCAGAAACAAACGTGTGGAATTAAAAGTGCTCTAGGGGCTGTAGTTTCTCCAAGTATTAGTCTCAGTAAAGGGTAAGCTCCCAAAAGGTGGGGGAGGGGAATAAAGGATATCATAAAGAAATGGTCAGGGGCAAGTGACATGGCAGTTATAGATAATGATTATACTTATGTACCTTTCTAAATATAACACCGTTAGTTCTCGTTGAGAAGTGACCACACGGAAGGGAAATGTGAGGGAAATTGGTCACTAGGATAAAGTGACGTGGGATAATAGAATTCTGGATAAATTGGCAGGTTAAAAGCAGTGTCTGAGTGACTCAATACAGTTAAGGAAAGGAGGACTGGGGTTGTTGTATCAATGGGCCAAGTTGCTGCTGCCAGCTCTTGGATCTGTGACCAGCTTTGCACAAGAGTGACCTCCCATGAATAGACTTGGGTACCCACTGTCGCAGTGCTGCAGCTGCTGGAACTGTATCACCCATAGCTGTCCTATAGATTAGGCCAGTGATCTGCCCACAGGACAGGCACTGCCAATTAGCTTCTCCCATGATTAGACCCCCGGTAACCACCACTACTGTTTATACTTCCACTGTCCCAACTGCCACCATTGCAGCCACCCCACTGATTGGTATTGTTTCTGTCAGTGAAAGAGCCTCAGAGAAAAAGGTAATAAGACTGCTGAAAGCAAACATGGAGAGTGTACATGAGCACTGCAATCAAGCAAATGTAAGTACTTAAAATGTGGATAGAGCACCAGTGAGGTATCAAATAATGGTTCCCTCAAACTCCAGTTTGAGTTTGTCAGACCAATGCATTATCTTGGTTTAGAGAACACAAGCAAGACCCAAGCAGCTGCATCACCACAAAGTCCCAGCCCATCACTAATGACAATCTTACAGAAGCTGAATCATGAAGCCCCCTCCTTATAGTTATCCTTTTCCACTTCCTTTATACCACCACAGCACCTCCCAAGACCACTAGTAGCAAGGCAAGTAGTAGCTGGTAGATGTATGGGCTGGACCTCCATGAGGATCTCATGCCCTCTCTTCTTCTACTCAGTATTGTCAATAGCTCCACTATTGTTACCATAAACTTAGTTATAGCTATTGTTTTGCTCAATTGTGTGCCATGGATACCTGGCCAAGATATGTCTTACATATGTCTATGTAAGATGGCATCACATTATGTCTGAAAGGATATGGCCCATACTTCAATAAATCCCTATCCTCAAGCTCTTACATTCCTTTAATCCCCTCTTCTGCTGTGTTCCTTGATCCTTGGAATGTGTGGCATGTCCATGGTCCTTTGAGGAACATTGGGAATCCATGGCCCCTAAATGGTCACTTATTCTAAATGGTTTAGCTAGCTATTATCCCTTCTAATAGCAAATTCCACTCACTGTAAGAAGTTCTCCACCAAACAGACTGAACCAGTATTCTATGAGCATAAATATAGATGTTCAAAAGGCAGTTTGACAGGCATATCACATCTATTAAATAAAAACAAATACAAGTTGCTTCCCTACTGGGGCTTTCCCAGTTATACATTTCTAGCCTGGCTTATAGTATTAATGTGAATTCTGTCTTCTGGTGGGACCCTACCTTCAAACAGAAAGTTGTAGGTTGTTCTCATAACATTTCATGACACTGTTGCACCAGCCGGCACACCTTACCATGGGGCATATTCCATTTCAGTAGCATGGCATGCAGAAGATAAGCTTGATTAGGAATGTGGGTAACAGTCCTCTTCCAAGCAGCCTCCATTTTCCCTTCTGTTACAATTATAGCCAGCCATTCGATAGGCAGCTTAGAGCTTGTGCTCAGCCTGATTTCTCTATGTCCTGAAACCAAAGTGTATGGCATCTTCAGCAATAGTGGCTTACTGTAGCTAGAGTTTTCCTGCCTTGCCCACAGTCAGGACAAATCTCTGTCACCCGCCAGTCCCACAGCCGCTCAGACCCAACCAAGCAAACACAGAGACTTATATTGCTTACAAACTGTATGGCCGTGGCAGGCTTTTTGTTAACTATTCTTATATCTTAAAGTAACGCATTTCTACAAATCTATTCCTTGCCACGTGGCTCGTGGCTTACCAGCATCTTCACATACTCCTTGTCCTGGCAGTGGCTGGCAGCGTCTCCTTCTGCCTTCCTGTTCTTTTATTTGTCCTCTCTGTTAGTCCCGCCTATACTTCCTGCCTAGCCACGACCAATCAGGTTTTATTTATTGACCAATCAGAGCAACTTGACATACAGACCATCCCCCAGTACAGCCAAGTGCAGACCATCTCAGACACCTGCACTCAGGCCCATGGTCCTAATCATCCTCTATGCAAACCTGCTGGGTAACGCCACAAGGAACCCAAGAAGGGCTCCCACAGGACATACATTAACATCCCACAGCAGCTTACTATGTAGTTTTTGCATACAACAAACAGAGATGGCAATAACCTTTATCATTTTGAGGTTCTCTGTGGATTGTCTGGCCAACAATCCATAGGAAGGTAGTTCACTGCTGACACTATGTTCTTTATTTAACATTATGATTTCTAGGAGTGCTGAAAAGGCATCCATACAGGATACCTTCATCCACATTTTTTTTTTTTTTTGGTTTTTTCGAGACAGGGTTTCTCTGTGTAGCTTTGCGCCTTTCCTGGAGCTCACTTGGTAGCCCAGGCTGGCCTCGAACTCACAAAGATCCGCCTGCCTCTGCCTCCCGAGTGCTGGGATTAAAGGCGTGCGCCACCACGCCCGGCCCTTCATCCACATTTTTAATCTGCTGTTTTATTGTTTTTTTCCTGAAATTTTTCTAGAACTATGTTAGGGTTTCTACTGCTGTGATAAACAAACAAACAAACAAACAAACATGACAAAAAAGCATCGGGGGAGGAAAGGATTATTTTGGCTTACAGTTTCAAATCACAGTCCATGATCGAAGGAAGTGGGGGCAATTTATGCAGAGGCCATGAAGGAAGTACTGTTTACTAGCTTGCTCTCTATACCCCATGACTACCTACCCAGGGGTGGCACCACAAGCAATGAGTTAGGACCTCATAAATCAATCAATAATTAAGAAAATTTCCCAAAAGGCTTGCTTAAAAGCCAATTTTACGCAGGAATGTTCTCAACTGTGGTTCTGTCAGATAACTCTAAATTGTGTCAAGTCATTAATTAACTACTCTGGACAATCTCTGAGAATTTCATAGGTTAGCATTATATTATATGTGTAAAACCCTTTTTTACAGAAGATCAACAAGATCTCTGAAAGCTCGCCACCAACCATTCAAGGTATCATTTGATCTTAGGAGTCAGTAGCTAAGGATGTATTAAAGAAAAATGTTAGCAAAATCTAAATCAGAATGAAGGTACTCCACTGTTTAGATCATGTTTTTATCGAAAGGTCACTTTAGATACTGTGGCATGGATGGGGGATACTACCTTATTTAGGTCACTGAATCTATGATCATCACCCATGTACCACTTCTCTTCATCCTGAAGTACTGCAATGGAGCCTCCATTCATTTTCTCTGTGCTCAAATGAGTTTTGAGGGACTAGCTGAACCCACTCTAACAAGACCAGGGCCAGGAAGATGTAGGGCGGTGCTCAAACCTATTGTGATTGATATTCAATATGGGTCTGTGGGGGCTGATAGGCTCTAGAACAACACTATGGGAGGCAGTTGTTATTTAACCACAAGTCACATGTAGATGCTAAAAGGTCCCTAGGTATGGTGAACAGTATCAATGCAATCACATGATTTCCCTAGGAGAGAAGTGCATGAGGTTTATTCTGTGGATAACTGCTTGCCCCTAGGATAAGTGTGGTCTTTTTCATTTTTACCACATTATCATTTTTGCCTCCCATCAACTCTTTTGGCTTTAAAACCTTCCAAAAGCTCAATAGCACATTTGACTTTCTATCACTTTTCCCTTAAGAACTCTAGCTCAACATAAATCTTGCTACATATTCCTTTGAGTGACTCAGACAGATCAGATCCATTTGTCTGTTTTGCCTGTCTTTCATCTCTAGATTTCCTTAGCACTTTGCAGTTTTTATTCACATAGCAGACCTAATTTACATGTCATTCTAAGTCATTTAGACCAAACAAAGTCTCTATCACTGCATAAAGACCATGCCCCAACATGAATCTCAGTAAATATAGCCCCATTCCAGTCCCAGTGTCCCAGGTGAAATAATTTGTTCCGTAATTCTCTGGTAAACACAGTCTTAATGGGCCCAATGAACTGAGTGTCAAATTACTCCAGTAGTGCTTGTAGCTTCTCTATTGTCTTTCAGTCCCTGAAATACATTGAGACCCCACACTGTGGTAACCATGTGTCCCTGTTGGATCTTGTGAATCATCAGGGACTGATTTACCTCAAATTGCTACAGGTTATAAAACTTTTGTTTCTAGGAGGAATGAATGGTTACACTAC